TGGGGCACCATGAGTGATCAGTGATAAGACTTGCTTTGAGGTTTTTAGAAGAAAGACTTTATATAAACCACCTGCACTGCTTGTTCATTATTTCTTGGATTGATTTGTATGTACTTTAAAGGAATGGATATTAACCAAGTATATGACAAGACTTTTGGCTGGAACCATTTTTGTTTACTGTACCACAAAGTCAATAAACTTAAATTTATAAAAGTATTTACTAAAATAGCTTGATGTCTGACCTGCTGCATAGACCTTCTTATTCCATTCCTGTAGTGCCAGCCAATGCTTATAACTGCTCCCTAACACACTGCATGCCTTATTCTGAAATACATGGTGCTGCGGGCTAAGAATGTGTTATGCTTTTATCAGTACATGTTATAGTACATAATGCTCACCTTCAGTGTGTCGTTAGTGCACATGCATGGCACACCTTAATTCCCCTGTACCCTCCTCCCCGCCCTCCTGGCCTCCCTCTCTTCACCCCTTCTCTACAGCTGCAACTCAGTTTTGCACCTTAATGAGATCTCTCCTTAACTAGTGGGCTGAATTAAATTCTTGACGTGTGTTCACTTTATATTTTTATGACATCCATGATTTTACCTTTTTGAAAGTTATCATTTAGGGACTATTGAAGAAGAGAAAGGGATGGAGTGTCTGTTGTTATTTTTCCTTTTTTATTCCGACTGCATTGATGTAAGTTTTTTCTCTCTTTCTCTTGGTAAGTTTGGCTAAGGGCTTATCTGTTTTGCTTATTCTTTCAAAAGCCAGCTCTGGTAATCCAAACAACTAATTTGAAGACAACTATATGCAACATAACAATCATTGTTAATTCCTACCATCTTGTTTAGTGAAGCTCTGCATTATTTCTAATGTTTTTTACATTATTTTTTATTCTCTTTGTTTGATCAATCTTGCATTCTTACATCTGGTAATCTGAGCAACTTCGCTGAAAATAATAATATGTAGTGTAACAACCATTGTTGATTTCCTATTGTCTTGTTTTGAAATTCTGTATCATTTTTATTGTTTCTGTGTTGTTTTGGTTTTATCTTTGTTGTTATTATTTTGTTATTTTTTTCTCTTTAAAAACAGGTATTTGATTCATTGATTCTTGGTATTTTTATGGTATCAGTTTCACTGATTTCTGCTCTAATCTTTACAATTTTCCCCCTTCGTTTTGGTTTGAACCTGGATTTTTGTTGTTTCTCATATATCTTATATTTCTCATAAAGTTATTTATTTGAGCTTTTTCCCTAATACAAACATTGTTTGCTATGAATTTTCCTCTTACGACTGCTTTCATAGTGTCCAGAGGTTCTGGTGATGTTACAGGCATTGTAGTTAACTCCCAGGAATTTTAGATTTTCATACTCAATTTCTTTTTTGACCCATTGGTTGATTCATTTTTGTGCCAAGGCTAGTATTTTAAAACCAACATACATTTATTGAGTAGCCACTGTGAGTAAAAAACTGTGTAAAAGAGGAAAAGATAATACAGACCAGACATTGGTATTCATACATATGTTGGAATTTAAAATGGTGTGGCGGATATCTATTATACTCTTTTTTATATTTTTAAGGTTTTCTTTTTGAATTTTAGTCAAAATTCTTCACCAGCCATCATGGTTTCTAAGTTCTCTCTTCTTTAATCTCCTGTAAACCTGTCTGCAACTCTCATTTTAATAAAATATTTGCTGTAGTTTCAAATTTTCCATTTATTTCCTTTGAAGATGTGTATATAATATAGTTCTCTTATGAAATTCTCCACTCTGTCAACTATTTTCTGAACATTATACTAATGCTCAATAATACATGTGAAATTTTCAGAGATATCAGATAATACTATCCTTCCTATGACTAGTTGTTATGGTAGGGGCAGATCACTGAGAGCCAGTTGGGGAACGAGGTAGTTGAAAGCTAGATTTCAGGATTTTGTGGGTGTTGTTCTATTTCTAGTTTGCCTTGCTGTTTGAATCGCCCTGCAGGGCTGTCTGCTCAAGCTTTTATTTATTTATTTTTTACCAAGACCCTTCCACCTTTATGCACCTTGAAATTCAAATTTTTTTCTTACAAGATTTGCAAATATATCAAAAACTCCACTTAAAGTTAAAAAATAGATTTGAATTTTTAGAGTACTTTTTGTCTCACAGAAAAACTGAGTAGAGCCTTCCCACAAGCACCCTGCCCCCATGACTTACCTCCCCTTTGTCAACATTCCCTACTGGAGTGGCACATTTATTACAAGTGACAAATCTACATTTATACACTGCTGTCACCCAACACCCATGGTTTACATTAAGGTCAACTTTTACATGATGTACATTCCTGGGTTTGGAAAAATGTACAGTGGCACGTACCTATCATCATAGTAGCATATGGAGCAGTTTCTTGGCCCTAAAACTCTTCTGTTGCTAAACCAATCCATTTTTATTTGCCCCAACCTCTGGAAACTACCAATCTTTTTTTTTTTTTTTTAACTATCTCCATGGTTTTGCCTTTTTCTGAGCCTCATATTGTTGGAATTATGCAATATGTAGACTTTTTAGACTGCCCTGGCTTTTTTTACTTAGTAGCATGCATTTTAGCTTCCTCAATGTCTTTTCATAGCTTGATAACTCAGTTCTTTTTGCCATGGATGATATTCCATTGTGTAATGTACCACAGCTTTATCGGTGCCATTCACCTACCAAAAATCGTGGTTGCTTCCAAGTTTTGGCAGTTACAAATAAAGCAGCTATGAACATCTGTAGTGGATTGATAACTGGTGGTCAGCTTATAACCCTCAGCTGAACTGAGTAAGCGTGGTGCTGAGTGTGGGAGGCCCACCCAGGGATTGTTACCAGCAGCATAAGAGAAAAAACTGAAGAAGAATGAGGCTGTTGGGAGTGAAGAAAGGCTGTTGGAGTTGGTGGAAGTTGTAAGGAGCTGTTGGTTGTTTTGGAGGAGCTTGTCATGCTGGCTTTCCTGATGAACTTGGTTGTTTTCATCCTCTGAGGAGCTTGGGACCTTGTTGGCACTGAGAATGGCTTTAGTTCACTTTGGGGGAGCTCTGGTCCTCACTTTGAGCATCGCTTCCTGGCTCCAGAGGGGAAGATGGTACGCTGCTGGTCTCCTGAGAAGCTTTCTGTGTTGGCTTCCCTGATGGGAACTCGCCCATCTTGATCATTGGGGGAGCGCAGAACCTCAGTGTTGCTGAGGATGGCTGTGGTACCTTTTAGGGGAGCTCTGGTTCTTCTGAGCATCTCTTTCTGGCTCCAGTGCAGATCCCTCAGCCTGCTAACACAGATCCTTCATCCTGCTGGCATGGACTTCCTAGATTCCACCACTGACCTCTGGGCCTTCATAGCGCATATCCCTGAAACAGGCCTGCATGAGCTATTGTTATGGGCTCTGGGCCTCCAGTTGGACTAGTGGGAGGCATTGTTATGAGCTCTAAGTCTTAAGCTGGACTTATGCAGGACATTATCGTGGGATCCAGGCCCTCAGGTGGTTTTATTGGTCTTAATGTGTGGACAAATTTCCTGTACTCTTTTGTATATCGTTCTTTGGGTGACTATTATAAATAATCTTATAATATATGTGTCCTGTATTATATTGTTCCCCTTGCAAAAATATGCCCCAAACCAACACAAAATCATTGTGCAGCTTTCGGTGTGGCCAAAAATATTTAACTGAGTAAACAGCAAGGAGCATAATCTAATCATGACTTTCTAATTTCAATAATCTTATTTCTCCCTAGAAGTTATTTTGATACTTTCTTAAATTAGCATTTTTTTCTGGTGTTTCTCACATTTTCTATTATGTCTTTTATAATTTTAATCATTTAAAATATACTTATTTTGCAGTTTGTATTCATCTTATTTGATTGTCTGAAATACTCAGGGGTCTGAATTCATTGTCTATTGAACTGCTGATTCTTAGTTTACATTTGTGCCTGTCCAGTCCCCCGAGACTTTAGCAACTGAGCACCAAATTTTATGTTAATTTATTAGCATGTGATCTCTGAGGCCGTATAGCTACTGAATATTTGAATCTTAACTCTGAGAGGGGAGACATGGTTATGAAGCATGAAAGGAGATTTTTTTTTCACTCAAAGTTCAGACTTATAGGGATAAACTTCCTTGTCACTTTCTGTACTTGTGAGGGGATATTTCCTAGGGTATCCTTTCACTTGAAGTGTGGACTACATGTAGGTTCATAAATTTATGTATGTATATTGGTTCCACCTCTCGGCACTACCTGAGCGCAAGGTTTGAGCTCTTGTTCTGTGTAGCCATTAAAGACAGCCCTATAGGCTACAGAGCACAGCATAGTCCTAAGCCAGGGAGAGATCTGCACAGGCTCCCACACTGGTTTTCAGTTTCTTTTTCTATAATATTCAGGGGATTTACTTCATTTTCTTATGATCTTAGCTAAGTCTATGTAAAGATCTTTATATACTTTATTCAACATTTGTAGTTTTTTTTTTTTTTTTCAATTTTAGGTAGTGATTTTCATATAATGTAGTTCTCCATAATTCCTGAAAAGAAAGTCTTAACTGACATAATTTATACTGTGGGCTTGGTAAAACTCAATAAATGTTACTTATTACGTTATCATCATTATATTATTTTCACAAATATACAAATCCTAAGTATTTGGGGAATAAGATATTAGAAAACTTTATGATAATTTGTCTCTCAGCTGAGGGCATGGTTACTGGATATAGTACTATAGAAGTCAAGTTATAAAAACAATATAATCCAGCCTATCGTGACAGTTAAAGCATATCACCTTTTCCCCAACTACATATGCTCCTCTTTTTAAAAACTTATTTTTAAAAAGCTCTTATTTCCCTAGGGAAACTAGAAAATATTTATGACTTTGTAGTTTTTAGACACTGAAAGCTATACTTGTAGGAACTACTTCACATATCATATCTGGTATATGATTTAAATTTGAGTTTAAAAATTTTATGTCTTGCATGAAATTGTATATTCTTTTCTTGCTGTTTATAGGAGGATACTTCATCGAGACTTGAAATCCAAGAATATATTTCTGAAAAATAATCTACTTAAAATTGGTGAGATTTTTATTCTTATTTTATTTTATTTTATTTTTTGGTACCAGGAATTGAACTCAGAACCTTGTGCTTGCTAGGCAGGCGCTTGTGCCATTAAGTTATATTCCCAGCCCAAAAATCAGTAAGATTTTTAAAAGATGTATACTCCAAAAACATGGGACAGTATATTCCAAATATATATCAAATTGAAGTACATGGGATATGGAAATTTTAGAGTAATAATTATTTTTAAATTTTCAAAGTTTTATTCTTATCTGGATGGGCCGAACAAAACCCAATTGTCTTGTTACTGATCATCTGATATAAGTGGAGACATAGAGCATTTATAATATACTTGCTTGATTAACAAATATACTTTGAGTTGCTGTTCCATATCAGACACTTTGAAAATTGTTAGATGTTTTTGTTTTTGTTTTACTGACTTGATTAATTATTGTAGGTTTCTCACTTTTTTATTACAAGCTATAAGCATTTTTATAGATAATTAAAATGTTGGTATAATGGCTTTATTAGCTTTTGTTTCTTCAGAACTGTACCTCTACTCATGTGGTTACCGGATTCTCTAAGAATTAGGTAGATGTTCCTAGGGAGTGAAGGACTTAAAATACGCCAGGAATTAGGCAGGGATGGAGAAACCAATGGACTCACTTTGTTTTAGTTATGCTCTTAATGGTTTCAGGTCTTTTAAACAAATTTTTATTTTATTGTAAATTAAGAACAAAATCTTCCCCATCAGATAAAATTGTATATCATATTCAGTCCTTCCAGAATCACTCCATCTGTGTCATTCAGACTTGAAATACTTTTTTATATCAAATTACCTAGTTCTCAATTCTGTAAGTAAAGAATTTTAAATTACATATAAATTCCCTCCCCTGGTTCAAAGTCTTCTTTTTCTATAAAGCTTGTGTTTTTAAAAGCGTCATATAATTTAAAGTATCACGTTTCCTCCCCCTTAAGATGATATGATGCATTGCATAATGAAATAATCAAATTAGGCACTTATTCACCCACTAATTACCAGTGCCGAATTTTTTATTTGGGAGTATTCATAAAGGTTAATTATTATTTCAAGGGGATTTTGGAGTTTCTCGACTCCTAATGGGATCCTGTGACCTGGCCACAACTTTAACCGGAACTCCCCATTATATGAGTCCTGAAGCTCTCAAACACCAAGGCTGTGACACAAAATCGGACATTTGGTGAGTGGGCAGCAAGCAGTGGGTGGGCCCACAAGGGGTTTCTACTTCTTCCGCCCCGAGAGAACAATTCATTTCCTTTTAAAACTTTTTTGCTTACTACATCCACTGTCTTTATCCTCTTGACATTTGAGTCATTTTGGGTCAGAGTAAAAGGAGGCCTTTTGGATTTGGAACTTGCTATATTCCATTAAATTCATTTCAAAAATTCTCTTTATTCATACATTAATTGGTTGGTTTGGATTTTTAGTTCCTGAGCCACAGGGGAAAGTTATTAATGTGGCAGAAGCATTAAATTTTGATATGCTTCTGTTAACCTATGAAATAGAGCATTTGTAACCCCAAATACTGTGCTTTATTTTCAGGTTAATACCAACTCTGTGGGGGAATATGCATCTCTGCGTTTTTTTCTTCTTGCCATTTTTAAGAATTTTATTAAAGATATTGGCTTTATGGACAGCCTAAACTTAAAGCTTCTGGGTTTTCAGTGATAGATACATCTGAGATTCCTCAGTTTCTCCAGCTCTTGTACCAAAGGAATTTCTCTACTCTGTCATGGAATCAGTGTAAACATTGCTGCAGAAGCCGTGTAGAAAATGACACTAAGTCCTTTTGTAAGCAGTGGATCCTATTTGGGGAATACTTCTTTACTTTGAAGAACAATTTTCAGCTTGTTAAGGGTTGAAAGGACAGTCTAGCTGAGAGCTTGTTAATTAAGTAAATAATTATTGTATGCAAATCAACACAAGCAGCTCTAAGCTTCCAAAGATGGGCAGTGTGAAAGATGTGTCCACTTCAATTTTCCACAGAAGATAAAGTAGAAAATCATCTTTTCTCTGGTTAAGGGAGAGTGAGCCACAGCAGAGGACACGGCGTGGGACTTCTCTGAGGTCATTGCTTCTGTTCTTTTTCGGGTGCCTCCCAAGTGGGAGAGAACACTGCTAGGATGAGGCTGGGCTGTGGCAGTTCCCGTGAATCTTGCCCCTTCAGTTTTGTGCTTGTTTCTAGCTTCTTCAGTGGATTTTCCCCCACTTGTTAGTTCATTTCTGACCTGGAGGTCTTTTCTAATTCACCTGTTATTTTTCATATGTTCTTCCCTAATCCCCCCCCCAGGAAAAAGTAAAAAAGAAAACCAAACTGGACATAAAGTAAAAATTCAGGAACACACAGGAATATTCAAAGGAATGAGGCTCTTTAAATTTGGCTTCCTACAGCATTTACTGTTATTCGAAGTTTGTACAGTAGCCCTTAGGGTATAAATGCAACAATACAATGATGGTAGGCTTCTTCCCGTTTGTGAAAATCTTGCTCCTGTGTGGTTCTGCTCTCTAGTTTGAGGACATCAGTGTTGGGCTTTGGATTGAATTTCTGTTATATACCTACATCTCTCTTCACAATTTTAAAACTTATTATGGATATCTAAAATAGATGCAAATATATAATGTCTTCATGACTTCAGATGGTACTTCAAGAAGATGTTATATCGTGTTCATCATTTAAGTTTTAGGGATTACACAAACCAACATACCCTGTTCCTTTTGAGAAGGCATCTGCGCCGGCGGGCGGACTCAGAGGGATATCTGCTAGGACAGGGCAACAACAGAATCCACTGAGAGAGAGTAAAGCATGGAGTCTGTGTGTCAGTTGCGCCAGTTTTATGGACTTCTTTTTTACAAATTGCTCCTACTATTGCAGGAAGAATTATAGGGACATCACGCAATATTGTTGTAATGTTTTACTGTTACAAAAATATGTGACTCAGACAAAACTTAAAGCAGCACAAACTTCTCAACTATAAAAAAGCTTTAGACCAGTGCTCATTGCCATGGTTTTTAACTAGTCAGCCAATACAAGCTGAGGATTCATCATCATCCTGACCCCAAATAACCACCTTATTATGGTTTTAGTAATTACCTTGCTTGTGTCTAAATCAAAATGGTCTTATCTGATAATGAAATTTCTACTGTCAAAGTCAAAGTGGAAAAAATAACAGAGACAGGTACAGAAGTACTATGAGTAATCTTGGGAAGACACTCCTAGAAAAATTAGATTGAGGATGATAAATTGTCTCTGCATTTTTCTGTTTTTTCAGTAATATTTTCTTTTAATTGGAAACATTTATGAATAATTGGCAGGTATTCTTCTTTAGTTGTAGTGGCTGAAGATTTTTTTATTTTAAAGAGAAAAGAAAACAAAATAACAACAAAAACAAAAACAACACAAAACAATAAAAAGACACAGAATTTCAAAACAAGGTGATAGGAAGTTAACAATGGTTGTTATATTACATATTGTTATCTTCAACAAAGTTGCTCAAATTACCAGATGTAAGAATGCAAGATTGATCAAACAATTAAAGAGAATAAAAAATAATTTAAAAAATTAGAACTGATACAATTTCATTAATCAAGGTATAGGGGTTCAACAATGGAAGGTATTTATGATGCTTAAAGAAGAATTGGTTTACCCATCCAAAAATGGGCATCTGAGATGAATACACACTTTTCAGATGAAGAAATACAAATGGCAAATAAATATATGTAAAAATGTTCAACATCTTTGGTCATTCAAGAAATGCAAATTAAAACAAGACTGAGAGTCCATCTCACCCCAGAAAGAATGGCTACCATCAAGAAATCAACCCATAACAAATGCTGGAGGGGCTGTGGGGAAAACTCCTTCTGTTGGTAGGAGTGTAGACTGGTGTAGCCACTGTGGAAATCAGTGTGGAGATTCCTCAGAAAGTTACAATTAGAGGTCCCATTCAACCCAACTATTCCCCTTTGGGTATTTTTCTAGAAGATTGAAAACATCATACCACAGCAATATATGTATACCCATATTTACAGCAGTGCCATTTGTCATAGCTAAAATTTGGAAACAACCCAAATGCCCATCAACTGAGGAATGGATAAAAAGATGTGGTATTTTTTATACAATGGAGTATTACTCAGCTATAAAGAAAGATAAACTTGAGGTTTTTATAGGTAAATGGATGCAACTAGAGACCATACTTAGAAGTGAAATAAATCAGACCTGCATGTATAAACACTGTATTGTCTCACTAGTGTAAAAGAAATCTGAAAGAGTAAATAAAATCTGAAAGGTACAATAGATAATGTCAAAGGGAAAGAAACTGCTCAGAAAGAAGGAACAACTGGGCTGAGGGATAGGAGAAAAGAAAGAAGAAAGGGGAAAAAAAATATATATATATACACACGAGATACCTAAGATAATTGCAGTACTAATTTCTTTTGGTTTCTTGAACAATTAATGTTTTATTTTTTTGGGTTCAATTTTGCATGCCTATATCTGGTAATCTGAACAACTACTTTGAAGATAACAAAATACAATAAAACAACCATAGTTGATTTGCTATCATCTTGTTTTGAAATTCTGTACCATTTTTAGTTTTTAAAAAATTTTTTATTCTCTTTAAAATAAAAAAGTTTAAAAAAAGAACTGATCTAATACTAATTATATTTTCATCTGCTAATATTTGCCTGTTTGTGAACTTATCTTTGTTCTACAATCCTGTAAACGCGTCTGGATTCAGTCACTTATAGCATTCAAGTACAAGAAGTCCCTTTCTTAATAATAGGTTAGATTACAAAAGTTTATAAACAGTTAATGGAAAGTTAGGATAATTATATTCACTGAAGGGCAATGCTTTGGACACAGCTGGTTTGTATAAGCAATTGCTAAATACTTTTCTATCCATAGGGTAAATATGACTTGGGTTACTAGGCCATTTCCTGAATTGATTTAAACTACAAATATTTAGGTCATACAATTTTAAAAATTTCCATGACCATACTTTCCATCTCCAAATTTTTCATTTGATGCTTTTAATGTAATTTCTCTCTTTATTTATTCTCTATTTGACGTGACATTTTATCATACTTTACTTTTAAAAGTGTTGTATTTCTTTGAACATATTTATAATGGTTGCTTTCAAATCTTTGCTAAATCTAATATCTGGACCTTCTCAGGTAATACTTCTTCTCTACTTTTTTCCAGTTTATGGGTCAAACTTTTCTGTTACTTTGCATGTCTCACAAATGTTGAGAACTGGACATTTTTAGATAACACATGGTGGCCACTGTAGACATTTCTTCTCTCCTCATCCTCCATGTTATGGCTTATTTGCTTAATTATTCATTCAGTGACTTGCCTGGCTATTTTATTAAAATCTATTTCTCCTGCATTACAAGCCTCTGGTGTTCCTCAGAGTGCAGTGCTGGACATATCCACACTTATCTTGGAATGGTTGCTGCTGGGTTTCCTGTTGATTGTCTCTTTTCTTACTCTGTGACAAGCTGTCTACCTCTGTTAAAATCACACCCAGCTCTAGTTACTACATTTCACTGTGAGTTTCTTCAGTTATAAGCTGCTTCTTAAATTTAAGGCTTAACACCCTTAACTGAGACCAATCATTCCACTGGAGGTTAAACTGGGGTGCATCTTCCCAAGAACTCTTCTAGACATTTTACTGAAGGAACATCTCAGGCAAGGAAAACATGTGACTGTGAGTCTGGACAGGGCCTAGGTTTCTGAGCAGAGAGGCTTCTTTGGAAGGGAGAATAAGGTAAAACACTCCCATGATCCTCAGGGGCATGTGGCAGATTGTGTTTTCCAAAGATGGCCATCACAGTGTATCACTTTTGCATGTTCATTTTGAATGTGATGTTGATGCTACTCTTACTGAGAGGAGAGTCTGTGTTCTTTCACTTTTTGTTTGGGTAGAGCCTGTGATAATGGCAAAATTGGTGCTATGGGGCTTGTGAATCTAGATCGTAAGAGGTGACATGGCTTTTGCTTGGTTTCCCTGAGATTATCATCCTTGGAGTGCAGCTCTCACGCAGTGAGGAAGCCTGAGTAGCACAACAAGAGGCCAGTGTGGAGTAGTATCCATTGAGGGGGCAGGGCCTTGGTCTTCAGCCAAGCTAAGCTGCCAGCTAGAACCAGCACTAACTGGTCAGCTGTGGGAGAGACACATCGCA